AATCAAGTTACCTGGTGGGACAAGTTCAAAGCAAATAATTTTTAAGGTATAAATGTGTTACAAGGAGGGAAAAATTAATTCTTTGTATATATAGGATGACAGGAAGTTTCCCAAATAAATGACATCTACAATGTCTTTTTAAAAAATAGATTTTATTTTATTACGGTCCATGTACACTGATGCTCACGGACCACTCCTGGCTCCTGGTTGAGGGACAAAGTCATTCCTGGGAGTGCTCAGGATCATGTGTGCCTGGAACCGAACCCAGGTCTCCTGCATGCAAAGTCTGCGCTCAGCTTTTGAGCTATATCCCTAGCCCTGCAACATATTTTTGAAAGTGAAGACAACTTTGGTTGATGAAGTTATTTTGAGCAGAAAAAAATAGTATATTTCTCTGCGTCATAAGTAAGTCATCTGATGCATTAAGAAAGACAATCTTGTGATGATCTCAGGATCCAACAGAAGGAAGCTGGGTGATTGGAGATGTGATTAGAAGTAGATGAGAGATACTCACACAAATCTTTTCATCACCATTCTGTGCATGATGGTCCACTTGCCTAATGACTTTGATAGTAAATATTATGTTTGAATTAGAGAAGAAAATACAGTGGATTGGGATGTTACGTCAAAGAACTGAATATAAAAAATTAAAGATGAGAAGCTCCAGGGACGTTCAAGATCAGATTTAGCCTCCACCTCTGAGAGAATTAGTTTTATCATAAGAGATGACTCATCTTAGTTGAAAGTACATTTCAGGCAAATTCTTAGCTCTATTGGAAAGGGTTTGAATGAGCCTCTTTTTCCAAATCAACTTTCTATTTTCTGTCCCTCAGTACCAATTCTGACCACATTCTCTTGTGTCTTTATTATTTTCCATAAGGAGTATTGTAGCCTTGTCAACAGTGATTCCGCCACGTGCTTATTTTCCTCTATCTGCTCTTTCTTCACTTGGCAGATACCCAAAGGAGATTATTATGCCCCTTAAGTAACTAGCTTTGTCTCTCATGGAATTCACTGACAGCTTTTGAAGGTATGATTTGCCCACAAAGCTGATGTATTGAAATCTTTTAGTTTGTGTACTTCTAGCTGATTGGCTGATATATCATCAAGCTTATTAGATCCTCATGTACTATATCAACCTTACAGAGTGGTTTGCATAAGTATTTCTAGACTATAGAGATCATAAGTACAGTGAAATGGCCCTACATAATATTCACCAGAACTTCTAGGGATATACATGCATATTTATTTTAGAGTTGAGGTGTAACTTGCAATTTAATTCCAGGCAACAAATACTTTCTGCAAAATGAAAGCCACTAGATGATTACTAAAATCATCATAAAATACTCCCTTTCTCAGATGGTTTTTTTTATATTTGACCATGATTATATTCCCTGATACTCTGAGATAAGTTTCTTAGATTTTGGGTCACCTGGTAGTGCTCAAGTTTTATGGCTGGCTCTAAGATCAGTAATCATTCCTGGTATTTGGGACAATATCTGGTGCTGAGGATCAAACGTGGATCAGATGTATGCAAAATAAGAACCCCCCCTATGTACTATCTTATCTCTCTGGCTCCAAAATTTTAAGTTACTTAAACTATCTATACTTGCCTGAAACAGTCAAGGTAATGGTACAATTGGATGTAGGCTGTTTCTCAAAAATTATCATTGAAAATAGAATTTTGCGAGTGCATATAAATAGGTAAGACTGATTGTTATTGAAATATAAAAATATGAAATCCATACAAATATGTGACTCATGAATATTATGATTAGTAGAATGAAAATAGTCTTTTTAAAAAAAATTTAGCTTGTTTTATTCACTCAAAAATCTATATATCATCATTGGAATATGAATTTGCATATTTCTTTAAAAATCCATGTTACTGAGTTCTATTTTCATAATAATCTAGTAAATTCATATTTATTTACTTATTTAATTTTATTGAATCACCGTGAGATAGTTATAAGCTTTCATGTTTGGGTTACAATCATACAATGATCAAACACCCTCCCTCCACCAGTGCACATTCCCCAACACCAATATCCCCGGTATACCCCTCCCCCTTCACACCCTCCCCCTGCTCCATGGCAGACAATATTCCCCATACTCTCTCTACTTTTGGGCATTATGGTTTGCAATACAGACACTAAGAGGTTATCATTTTTGGTCCTTTATCTACTTTCAGCACACGTCTCCCATCCCGACCAGTTCCTCCAGCCATCATTTTCTTAGTGATCCCTTCTCTATTCCAGCTGCCTTCTCCCCTTTGCTCATGAGGCAAGCTTCCAGCTATGGAGCAATACTCCTGTCCCATGTATCTACTATCTTTAGGTATCAGCCTCATGTTATGTTGTTTTATACTCCACAAATGACTGCAGTCCTTCTATGTGAAAAGAGCCTTAATGCCATCTTTTATGGGTCTCTTTGGTATTCTCTCTATATCTGCTTATGGTCTTTTTATGATTATCCTTATGAAAATACTTTAAACAGTAAGCTAAATTGGTATAGAAAGATTGTATGTCTGCACTTGTACTGGCCAACTAATGAAATGGTCCTGTGGTTCATAAAAATATTCAGGTTATATGTTTTACTTGAACTCTTTCCTAGTAATAAGGCAGATTTAATTACTACTTTCACTCTGCAGGAATTTATAATCACAATTTATGCCATATAATTAAGCACTTCATTGTACATTGTTTTATGATTTTCACTGATTATTGAAAAGTGATAGTTCTTATCTTCCCAGAGACACTATAACCTTCTCCATGATTATCACATATATGAATTAAAGAAATCAGTAGCAATTCATTCAGGCACACTTTAGCTAGTGTTCTATGTTCTCAAAGAACCATTCGTTCATCATTTTGTTCAATAAAATGAATTATTTGGACCCTTCAATATGCCACATACTATTTCAGGCAATAGAAATCCACCAGTGATTAAACAACAATGACACAATTAAATTGTGACACTACTGAATTTTAATTCTAGTAAAGGGAGTCTAAACAATATGAAAGCAATAAAAACACCCAGCCTGCCAAGTTTTCATAAATGCTTTTAAATAAAGCAAATGCTCTGTATAAATAAATAAATTCTTTACTTAAATAGAGAGGTGAACTAAAGTGTACTTTTACTGGATTATATTAGAGGACTTTAATTTTAAACCAGAGGGTATAAAATTTATTAAGGTTGTTATAGTTAGATGTGATCATTTTTTCTAGTTATTTTTGGAAAAACATATTCATTTTAAGATACTTATTTAAAATAAAATGTCAAGTCACTCATCTAACTTTTCTTAGGACACATAATTTAGTTTTCTTTCCTTTTTCTCACTTTAAAAAGATTTAACTGTACTTTACATATAAAAATTTGTACATATTTGATGCATAAAATTGATGTGTTTTGGCACATGTAAGTATTCCATAAAGGTAACAGACATGCCCTCACCTCTCAGAGTCATATTGTGTCCCCTTAAGGGTGACTACACATGAGTAACAGGGATAGGAATGTAAGTTCACATGATATAAAATTTATACTTTTGGGGATCTTTTGTTTTTTGCTTGTTTGGGGGCCATATTTGGCAGTGCTAAGGGCTTACTCCGTCTTCTTTCTTTTTACCCAGGGATCACTCCTGGCTGCTTGGGTGACCATATAGGTTGCCATGAATCAAACTCAGGTCAGCTGTGTGCAAGGCAAGTGCCCCACCCACTCTACTTTCTCCATCCCTGAGACTGATTGCTCTTATTAAGAGTCTGATGGACACGATAGTATATAGAACTATATTTAACATGATATCCCTCGAATTTACCCAGTGCACATAAGTGAAACTTTATATACATTGAATAACAATACAAGCTGTTTGGATAAGCTTAGATATCACTTTTCAAGGCAACCTTCACTAACCCCACTGACTGGAATAATTACACTACCAGGGATATATCCTTCACATCCAGTGTAATTTTTTTATCATTATTCTCTATTCAATAATCCATAATTATTTGTTTAATATCTACCTACCCAATAGAATATAAGATTAATTAGAACAGGTACCTTATTTGTTTATATGTGTTCCTTTAAATCCAAGAATATTGTCTGAATTAGCTAATTAACCATCCCCCTCCTGCACCAAACACACACACACACACACACACACACACCACTACCACTACCACACACACGTACAACCATTTAACTGACTAACTTAAAGATAGGGTAGCCATGGTTTATATCCTCATACTGCCTAGGTATAATCTATATATAATCCTTTTGTAATGATTCTTATTTTATTCTAATAAAATGGAGATTCATGGTCATTTACAAGGCCATATGAGACCCTCCCACATTCAAAGGAAACCATCATCACCAACAGTATTTGGCCTGCATCAACAAACTCATATGCCACATAAGTTTGTCCAGGAAAACGACCACTGCTGAGCACCTATTACCCATCAGGTTTACTCTAGACCTCTGAGACTCATGAGAGTCCCAAATAAAGAAGAATCTCCTCTGCCCTGCAATGGAGATTATACTCTAGGGCAGGAGCAGGCAGATAGTAACCCTGATAAATAAGTAAATCATTTTATAGTAAGATAGTACTGTGAATCAACAAGGGAGCAGAGTGAGGAGTTAATTTCAAGTAGGCTAAATGGAAGCCCTTATTGAGCGGTGCTATTTAGATATGTTAAAATTTACTCAGAAAAGGAGGAAAATGAACAATGTAAAGATAGTAAAATAGTTCAGAAAAGTTTAACCACATATTTGAATGCAGAGGAAATAAGGCTTGAATGTCTCAAGTCCATTAGTAAGAGGAAAGAGGAAGGTTTTCTGCCTTTGACGTAGGAGTCAAGATTTAACTTTTCAACAAAATTAACCCAGAGTTGCAACAGTCTCAAAGGAAAACGGATTGTATCTCCTTTGCTAGGAGAATAATGAAAGCACAATTTTTCATGAAGAAGCACACATGGAAATTTATAGAGATGAGATGAGAATCTTACCATTTTTACTGATGTCCAGTTCTTTAAGATTAACTAAGCTAGCGATCGTGGTTGGCAGATTTGAGAGATCATTATCCGGAATACTTAGTTTTCGTAGAGCTTGACAGTTGAACAATTGCTGTAAAAGAGAACAGCCATTAGATTTCAATTTGGCTAAATCCATTCATATGCAAACTAAATAACGACATTCAATCTACTGTCTTTATAAATGTTGATGTAAAGGGCCAGCCACAAAAGTCGCACTTTATTGGGGTCTAGGGGATGGCTCTAGCTATAGAAGCACCTGAAGGGCATGTGCAAGGTTGTGAATTCAATCCCTCACATAGCTTGCACCCTCCTCTGACACTGCCATCCTGTATTAAGTGATGTGACCAAGTGGTGTGACCCTGGCACTCCATTTTTTTTTATTTGCTTTTTGGGTCACACCCAGGAATGCACAGGGGTTACTCCTGGCTCATGCACTCAGGAGTTACTCCTGGCAGTGCTCCAGGGACCATATGGAATGCTGGGAATTGAACCCGGGTCAGCTGTGCATGGCAAACACCCTACCTGCTGTGCTATCACTCCAGCCCCCATTGCACTCCATTAAGGGAGAGGCTTAAGGTCTCCAGGTATCGCTGGGAGTGACCTGTATTTAAACACTACAACAAAGTAAGTCTCACCTTCTTCATCCTGATTTTTTGGCTGTTTTCAGATCTCATCTCCACACCAGGGCCTCACTTTGCTAGAATTGTGTTGAACAGTTGTTTGCATGATTTATAAGAATGTAAAACATTTGAATAGGTGAGCTCACAGTCTGCATCTGATTCTCACTGCTATAGGAATGCCTAACAAATTAAGCATTTTGTCCCTACTACTGGGTGAAAATGAACTCATTAATGCTCAGTTGCTTCATTTTGGCCATCGGATGGCAATGACACAGTGATATAAAATTGGTTTTCAAATTCAGCATGGTTAATGTCACGGCTGGATAGAAATGCTTATTTCAAAATATGGATTCTTGGGATTTACCCTAAGACAACTGAAAGGGTGGGTTTAGGATTTAGGGTTACAATCTGCATTTTTAACAAGCTCTCTAGTTGTCCGGCTATTTTAATGCAGTTGTAAATACAATAGTTTGGAAAATAACAAGTTAGATTCCACCCACCCCCCTTTATTTAGTGATGTCCATCTCAACTTGTCAAGATATGAACAGCTGGGACAGATTTTGGATTCACTTTTGGAAGAATTATCTTAATGAGATCTTTTCTGCTTGACATTTCTAATTCTGTTTTGCTGAATTACCACAGATGAAGTCTCTGGTTTCCATGACTTTGCAATTGGCCCATGGTACATTTAACGACTGCTTATTCTTATATGTAATTCATAATTTACAGGCAAAAAGAATATAACACATGACTTTCATTTCTTAACTCATTAGCTTTAAAAAATAGATTTTGCTCATTACTCGTTAAGAAAAAATGTGTGGTTTCCTGCTTATGGTGGGCCACTTTTGGCTCCTTGCAAAGATTATTTGCAACACTTTATATAGTGTTAGAATTTCAACATGCTATACAGAAATGTTGCCACTTCTTTTTATAAAACTTAAAAAAGAGAGAATTTTGATGGATGGTTTATAAGTACTAATTTTCCCTTTAAATAAATAGAAAAACAGATGTCTACACTCATGGGAAAAGTTCATTTAAATTTTTACCCAGACTATAATTCCCTTAGAAACTTTACACAAACATGCAATGTAGTTAGTTAGAGTTTCATAGATTTTAAAAAATTCTTTGCCTCCTGAGTGATATTAGTAAGATATACTAAGTACTTAGAATATCATTACTATAACCATTTTGTGCAAAATTCAAACAATTTTCAAAATAGAGGGTTCATATTTATACATTCAAGTATAATTTCAAATACATTTTAAATTCTCTCGGTAATTAGTAGACATCCCTTTAATCTTTTTCAACAAAGCAGAACAAAAGATGAATAGAGATGCAGTAACTCTGAATCCTGAAAACCCAAGAACATTCAAGACTTGACCCACCCTTAGTACAGAGGTCAACCACAAAGGATTTAAAATGAGACTGATATGAGTTTAATCTCACTCACCTACTTATGAGTTGTTATAAGCTCTGTGATTCTGAGTAAAAGTTACCTAACAATTCTGAATCCTGTTGATATTTTCATCTATAAAAAGGAAATAATAACATAACTAACTTGAAGAGCTGTTGAAAGGACTATGAGAACTAATGTATTTGATCAAGTCCCTGTGTCTCAATTACAAGTTTTTTCTTCTTTTTGGGGGGGAATGGGGTACACTCAGCGATTCTCAGGGATTACCCCTAGGTTTGTGCCCAGGAATTACTCCTGCCATGTTTGGAGACCATAAATGATAACTACAATTCAATCTGGGTTGGCTGCTTGCAAGGCAAGTGCCATACCTACTGTACTATCTTTCCAGCCCTCAATTAAAATTTTTAAGCAGTGTTTCTTTTAAGTTTTCCTACAATAATGATGTGTCTTACAATTTATGACCAATTATCTTGGATTTGGTGGATACCTATGAAAATATACAACTATGTTTGACACACGGTAAGAACTGGAAAACTAGTATTCATAACTAGTATGTATATGTATAAGCTCATATAGACGTACCTATAAAGTAATCCATTTCTTACTTTTCTAGATTACTAGGTCTCTGAGGACAGGAACAATTTCTGATTCGTCTGAGTGTCAATCAGTTTCACCTTTGTCTAAACCAAAGTGTCTTGTACATAACGCCTGCTGGATAAATAACTTTGAAAATAAACTTAGATAAAGGGAAAAAATGAAAAAAGTGCTAAATTCCATCTGAGAGGAGTGCTTCTTTGGATTAAAGGAGTCGGATGAGTTAAAAAAATCTCAAGGGAATCTAAATTTCATAAGAAAGCAAGTAAACTTTTGAATATGAGTCATGATGTCTATCAATTGGCAAAGACATTAAGAAGGCATTTTAATGTTCTATCAAGATTCAAGCTTTGAATGAAAATGAAGAGTGATTATAAAATAGCTCTGATTCTTCAATGTAGTATAAAAGAACAAATATAATTAACAGCTAATTAGAGTAAGACAATTAATGGTCATGGTTATCTTGTCTTTCATTTGCTAATGATATTTCACATTTCCAAAACAATAAACTGCTTTGAGTCTTAAAAATATTTGCACTAACATGTTCTTCCTGAGCTAAAGGGAGCAATTTAATATTCAGAAATTGGTTTGAGAAGCACATGCATTCTAAACTACTAACTTGCTCCCCAAAGAAGGGGAAGGATGCTAGAACCATAGCACGGGGGGTAAGATGCTTGACTTTCATAGGCGGACGTCAAACCATACAATCAATTTCAGGCACCATATATGGTCCCCTGAGACTCTCAGGAATGAACTTTGAACATAGACTAGGAGGAAACTCTGAGTGCAGCCATGTGTGGCCCCAAATAAAATAAAACAAAACAAAACAGGAGGAAGAAGAAAAGCTAAAGCAATGGGAGGAGTTTTCTAAGAGTTCCCACAAAAGAAAAATGCTATTTGTAAGAAATGCAACCAAAATTAGGGCTAAAATGTACAGTCTCAATAGTATGATTAATTAATTCATGGAAAACTATTAACTGATACTTTTTACAAACGAAACACCATGCTGAGTGCAAGGGAGACAAATTCGGTAAGTCAGCCACAAAGCTCAGATTGCTTACCTCTTCAAATTTGGTCAATAAATCAAATGCATTGTGAAAAAACTATCACGATCACGATCACAACCATCCTGTTAATCGTCAATTGCCTCGAGCAGGCCCCAGTAACGTCTCCTTCGTCCTAGCCCTGAGATTTTTAAAAAAGTGCCATATTCAAGGCTCTTTCAGAGTTAGGAGAATGAGACCCATCATTGTTACTGGTACTTGGCGTATTGGGTACGCCACGGGGAGTTTGCCAGACTCTGTCATTTGGGCAGGTTACTTTCGGTAGCCTGCCAGTTTGTCCAAAGTAGGAAAAAACTATACCAGGGTAAATATCAGGTGTTATTAAAAGATGTGACAAAAATATGCAGAAAGGATATCTGTAGCAGCTTTTGTTGATCATGGTAGTGGTGGTGTGATTCAAACAAAGATATTCCTGGAGCCAGCGAGATAGTACAGTGGGTAAGTACTTGCCTTGCACACTGTGGACACAAGTTTGATCTCTGCCACAAAATATGGTCATTACAGCTCTCTTAGGAGTGATTCCTAAGCTCAGAGCCAGGAATAAGCAAGCCCAGAGCATCACTGAATGTGGTCCCAAAATAAAAACAACAAAACAGACAAACAAACCCACCCAACCACATCCTCTCCCTCCCTCAAATAAAACAAACAAGTATTTTTTGTGAGATGATGGAAAACAAAAACAAAGTGGATAACCAATGATATAGTATACTAGCCAGAAGGAGGTGCAAATGAAGAATAAAACAAAGATAATGTGGCACCTGCCTTGGTATACCTAAAGATAGTCCCAATTCAGAGTGTGTGCCCAAACTAGTTTCATACATTTGTTTGATAGCATGAAAAGACTTGGAACCTGGAGTATGTTCTGAGTTTTCACATACATGCATATAAAATATATCAGTTGAATCTCTCAATATATGCTATGATCTCTGCTCACTACTGATAATAAATGCATGAATATATATTATCCACTTTTGATTTACTATGGCAAAACTAAACAAATATACACATTCCTTGATATACTCTTATACACATCTCTAAATGAAAAGCTTTTAATTCTATATGATGGGAGTTTCTTGGAATTCTAGAATTTGAAGAAGTCCTACTAGCCTATAGAGTTAAGTGGGTCTTTGTTTAGCTTTTGCCTTCAGGTATCTATGAACTCCTGATGGTTGAAGGATTTTGGGTTTTGTCTTTTCTTTTCTTTTTGTAAGCAGGAGGATTGGAACCAGCTTGGCTTCTAAATAGAGTGTGAAATTGACTTAGAGACTACCACATATGGTCTCCCATTGGGGTAACTACGGGTAAGACCCGCAGTGAGAGAACTAGAAAAAGTGGGGTTCTGCAAAGGGAGTGTGTAGGGAACGCTTGCCTTTCTCATGGTTGAGCAAAGAGAGAGGGA